AAACCCAACCAACCACACAAACAAAAAAACACCAGAAAAACTATGCATATGTACCAATTCCCTAAGATGAATGTAATTATGTATCGCAAGCATATACTAATAAAGAAAATAACCTGGGCACATGACAGTAGCTGTAACAATCACAGACCAAATAATGAGGATTGTAACACAGACACTAAACGTGGCCACGTTTGCGGCCCCAAGCCTGAGCCTAATCCCGCTGCTCATTAGCTCCATTCAGGCGGGCCAAGCGCGGCCATCCCCGTCCGGCACTAGGAGCTGCCGCTGGAGCCTTTCCGTACACCATGGCGGCTCCTGGGGCCGCGGCGCGGGACATAGACTTCCGTACAACAGGGCCGCCTACAGAGCGGGAGCCACGCCCCCTTCCGCCCGGCCACCGGACGTTTCCATTTAAAACGGAGGCGGCAGAGCCAGCCTGCAACTTGACGGTTGCTGTCGAGCATTTTTTGAACCTAAGCGACAAGGAGTGCGGACCAGAGCGGTGAGCGCCTGGGTTGGGCTCTCCCTGGGAAGGGGCTGGCTGGAGGCGGGGGGCCGGCTGCGAGCAGAGCAGGTCTTTTCCCCAACTGGAGCCGGGGCGGCCCCCGGGTAGCTTAACCCGCAGCCCAGCGCTGGTAACACCTTGCACCCACCAGGGCCCAGCCGTGCCGCCTCGCCACGATGACCAGTGTGGCGAAGACGGTGGACAGCGTGCAGCCTCCGGCTGTGGCCAGCGGCGGCCCGCCTGCAGGTGGGTATCCACGACGACGCCTCCTGCCCGCCCTCGGACCCGCCTCGCATGATGGCGTCCCACCCGAGGCTGGCGATTCCGTCGGCCGTGCTACTTGCTAGACCGTGGAACCCGCACCCCGCGACACACACGCCTGGGCTGCACTCACCGATTCGGTTCAGCTCACCAGTTGTGCAATTGTATTCTCATTAAGCTTGGAACTGCCTTTCATTCTCTTTCCATTTTGTTGCCAGACTTGGGCTATCTCACAGGCCAGAGTCTGTCGTCTGGAAAGAGTGTCATTTGACAAGTGGGATGCGTGTGGGGCCGCGCTAGGGTTCTTTGCTGAGGGTGATAGCTGCAGTGACTTGTACATTCTCAGTAAATGCTGAGGGAAGTGGGAGAAAGGGGTCAGGCCTAGCCAGACCCTTTGAGAAGCTGGAAGAAGAGAGATATACGACCAAAAGCATAATTTTTAGTTGCTTTGCCATCTCCTATTTTGCTTGTGGCTGAAGTCATCTCCCGGGGTCTGCATGCTTGCGCTGCCCACTCTAGAGATCAGAGGGTAGAACCCACCCCAGTCACCGGAAAACGGTTGCGGGGGATTACGGAGCAGCTGTTTATGACGCTCCCTTCCCAGGTGATTCCATGCAGCTGCTTGATGAGCAGTGACAGGATTGATCTCTAAAGTGAACAGGCTTTCCCCCAAGGCTTCAAGGGCTGTTGCCTTGGAACACCTGAATGGTAATCCTGGCATCAGTAGCGACTAGGTGCTGCTGGAGGACTGTAGCCAGGTCTCCCCCACAAAGCCCTGTAGCCTTCGCCTCTTCTGCAGTGCCCCTTGGTCAGCCCATTGTGACTGGCTGGTTTTCATCTCTGCTTTCCAATACCTGCCCCAGCTTTATGATGTAACTGCAACACTTTAAATTTAGGGGCTGTCTCCTAGCCAAAAAAATTTTTTCTTTAATTTGGAGCATGGATTGCTTGGTTTTGTTTTTTGAATAAGCTATATATGTATACCTTTTTAAATAAAACAAAATAAGAGCCCAGTGTGGTGGTGCATACCTGAAATCCCAGCACTCGAGAGGCTGAGGGAGGAGGATTGCCTGGAGTTCAAAGCCAGCCTGATCTACATAGGGAGAGCCTTTCTTGAAAAATAGATACAAATACCAAATTGCCTAATGTCTATGGTCTAGCACTTTGTACCTTATTTTTTCAACTTGATTTAATTGTTATGGCTCTTAATTTAGGCCAAGTTTATTTGTTTGTTTTTTTGGTACTGGGAATCAAACTTTGGACCTTGCACTTGCTAGGCAGGTAGGTGCTTATGTCATTGTAGGCCAAGTTTAAAGGGGCCATTTTATAGTGAATGTAGTGAATATAATCTTGGAAAGCTGGGGCTGGGGGTATAACTTAGTGGCAGAGGACTTGCCCAGCATGAGCAAAGCCCCAGATTTGATCAAAAAAGCAAAACTTGTGTGTCAAGAGGTTTAGTGTTAATTCCTGCATAGCTATGTGGTTGAATTTGCCAGGGACTTCCATCTATGTACATGGTAGATAGTGTGTGGTGGGAGGCTGGCATAAAGATGGGGAGGCGTGCTTTTTTTTTTTTTTTTTTTTAATGAGACAGGGTCTTTCTATTTCACTTAAATGGGTCAGCTTCCCAGAGTGCTGGAATTACAGACCTGCACCACCCGACTCAGGAAAACGCTTTTGGGGGGAAGAAGTGTATCACCTCAGGGCTGTTTCAGGGTTATCTGGCCCTGGCCCAGCAAGGACATCAGAAAAAATGCCTAATAGGAAACCTCTAAACTTGCTGGACATGGTGGTACCATTCTGTAGTCCCAGCTAGATGGGAGGCTGAGGTAGGAGGATTACAAGTTCAAGCTAGCTTGGACAACTTAGTGAGACCCTTTGAGAACCTAGAAGAAGAGAGAAATATGACCAAAAGTATAATTTTTAGTTGCTTTGCCATCTCCTGTTTTGTTTGTGGCTTAAGTCATCTCCTAGGGTCTGCATGCTTGCGCTGCCTAATCTAGAGATTAGAGCGTAGAACCCACCCCAGTCACCAGAAAATGGTGTCAAAATAAAATAAATGGTCTCAAAATAAAATAAAGTCTGAGGATATTACTCAGTAGTAGAATGCTTGCCTCGCATGTGTGAGGCTCTGGGTTCAATCTGCAGTATCTCTCTCCCTCTCTCTCCCTCTCCCTCTCTCTCTCTCTCTCTCTCTCTCTCTCTCTCTCTCTCACACACACACACACACACACACACACACACGTACGTAAATTTAATGATCAACAAAGTAAGGGCCCAGTGTTAGAGGCATTCAGCAAGGAAGAGAAACAAAAGACAAGAAGAGGTAGTTTTGAAAGAGAAGTGTTTTATTTACTCTACCATTCCTTGTAGTTCAGGTCATATGCCAAATATGTTGATAGGTGCAGAGGGCACAGACACTCTGGGAGTGGTTAGGAAGACACCCTGGTGAAAATAGGAAACAGTTAAAAGAAAAATCCAGAGTGCATGATTGGGAAGAATATGCAGAGTGCTTCAGGAGTAACAGTGGTGTTACACTGGTGTTTGGAGAGTTGGCTGGGTTTACTTCCATTCAGATTTGTGTTTAGCTTTTTCTCATATCAGTCTCCATGTTTAAATTTATTCCTCCAGCCATTCAATTAGATGCATCATAAACACTGAACTGTCACCTTGAAAGAATTTTCCTTTGTAAGTCAGGCGTGAGTGGCAGATTTGTCATCCTGGCCCCTGGGAGGCTGATGCAGAAGGATTCCAAGTTTAAGCCCAGCCTGGACAACTTAAGCAATTTAGCAAGACCCTGTTTTAAAAAATAAACGGGCTGGGGGTGTAGTTCCAGAACCACCAAATAAATAAATAAAATTTTTAAAAAGAAGAATTTCTATGGTCATTTAGTCTTGAAATGTTATTCTTTGGATTAATCTTTACAATTTGAAATTGGCCCATATGAAAATAAAAGGCACATAACTTGTTTCTTCTAAGACTACAGGCTGTTAAGTCATGATGTTTAAAGGTTTACCCTCTTGTTTTTTCCTTGCAGATACAAAAACTCTAGCCACTTCTAAGAGCCTATTACCTGTTAAGTCCAAAAAAGTCATCACTTCCAGAAGTCTTCATTCAAACAGTGATATTATGAAAGTCACCAAGCCAAAACAAGAGAACGGGTGAGAGCAGATCATTGGTCTCTCAACATCCTGCTGAGGCTGGGGTGTAGCTCAGTGGTAAAATGCTCACCAAGCATTTACATATCTCTGGGTTTCATCAACAGTGCAAAAAAGCACAGAAGAAAAAGAACATCTGGCTGGAAATTGCTGAGTACTGAGAATTTAAAAATAGGGCCTGTGGTTGAGTGAGGTAGTGCAAGCCTGTAATCCTAGCATGCTGGGAGGCTGAGGCAGGGTGATCATGCATTGGCCCTCAAACTGAGCAGCTTGGTGAGATCCTTTCTCAAAATTAAAAAAATGAAAAAAAGGTTGAAGCTATAGCTCAGTATGAAGATCCTGGATTTAATCCCTACTATTAGAAAATGGGGGATGGTGTTGGACAGCACCAGCCCCTAGCCTGGAACCCAGACCCTCTGGCAGCACTGCTGAGCTGTGTCTGTCAGGTTATTGAGGTGGTCAGAAGGAAAGCCCTTTCCCTACTTTGATTTTTTTTTTTTTTTTTTTGAGACAGGTTCTTTCTCTCACTTAGGTTGGCCTTGAACTCTCAATCCTCTGCTGTAGCTCCTGAGTTGCTGGGACTGCAGCCATGTGCCACTGTGTGACTCCTTCCCAATTAAAAAGCCTTTATTGAAGCTGGGCATGGAGGCACATACCTGTAATCCCAGCACTCAGGAGGCTGAGGCAAGAGGAGTGCTGTGAGTTTGAGGCCAGCTGGGGCTACATAGTGAGACCCTGGCTCAAAAAAAGCCTTTTTTTATGCACTGCTAAAACCCAAATACTGAGTCCACAGGCTCTCGGGCCTGTGCTGTGTGCCTCACACATAACCTCTGGTTCTTTCCTCAGAAACCCTGACTTTGCTCCGCCTTACTTATAGCACAGTATACTAGTATGTGATTCTAGCCTACATAGCTGGTTAGGCTTTTTGTTTTTGCTTCTCCAGGCAGATGCAAGTTGCAGAGCCCTCCAGTAAGAGGAACATCAGAAAGAGGTGAGCATCTGGGAAAGTGAACTGGGCCACAATGTTAGAGGTTGGTTGCAACCCTAGTGCAAATGAGAATTGTTCTTGAGACTTGTGGGTTTTGTGTTTTAGTTGTTTTTTTGTAGTCACTTTAAAGAATATTTATTAGTACATGTTTGCAGTAATGATTGTTCCTTGTGGGGTGTTGGTACATGTCCATAACTCATCCTAATTCATTCTGTACCCCTTTCCGCCTCCTTCTCTGGTCCCCTTCTCATGGAGCGTGTTTCATGTGTCCTGCCATGGGTACCACCCTAGATACCTGAGTGGAACTGTCAGCACTAAGCCACAGCCAGATGTGGGTGTTACCATTGACAGGGCAAGAATCAGTAGTGCTACCATCTTGGATCCCAGACAAGAGCCTTTTTGCCTCTGCCAAGATTGCTACTGCTGGCCCAGCAACAGGAGTGGGACACCTTTGCAGTGGGAGTGCTGGGTGTAGTCAGCAATATCAGGATGCATACTCTGGTGGTGGGCAGGGCCAGGGATATAGCTGAGTGGTAGAGTGCTAGTCTGGCATGTGCAAGGCCCCAGTACCACACATGCAGGCAGACAGACACACACGTAAAGGAAAATTTTAAAGACGAAGTACTAGCAAAGAAGTTTAGCATGATAGTGCATGCCTATAATACTAGCACTCAGGTGGATAAGGCAGGATTGTGAATTTAAGCCCAATCTGGGCTACATAACTAAACCTTGTCTCAAAAAAAAAAAAAATCTAGCAAGCAAGAACTTCAAAATGAAGTTTATTATTAATGACGATGACAATGGCTATTTTTTGTTTGCTCTTCTGGTTTTTTGAGACATTGCCTTACTACATAACTCATACTGGCCTTGAACTCACTGTGTAGCACAGATTCACCTCAAACTTGTGATCCTCCTGCCTCAGCCTCCTGAGTGTTGGGATTACAGGTGTGTGCCACATACCCAACAATAGTGGCTATTTAATATGTTTACCATATGTCAGACCTGGGCTAAGCATTATACATGGGTTTTTCTTTTATTCTTTGTGATAATATGAAATATGAATGCTATCTTAATTCTAGAAAGGAGGAAACAGCCAGGTGACATAACACCGTGCAGGTCATACACCACATATTGTAAGATGTAGGTATTATCTTAAGTCTAGAAATTCAAAAGCAGAGCCTCAAGGAAGTACATACAACAGGTTATCACTGTGTAACAAAGCCAGAATTCAGACCTATTTAAGTAGGTCTGTAGTTCACACTCTTAAATCTTCTACTTCTCCATGTAAGTATAACTGTTGTTACAGCTGCAAGCCATTGAGAGAGCAAAAATCAGAGGAAGAGCTAAAGGATAAGAACCAGCTCTTAGAGACTGCCAACAAGCAGTTGCACCAGAAGTTGATTAAAACTCAGGTAAGAGCCTGACAGACACAGTGGCACACACCTGTAATCCCAGCGCTCAGGAGGCTAAGGCAGGATTATGAGTTCCAGGCCAACCTGGCCTATGTAGTGAGACCCTGTCTCAAACAAAAACAAAGAAAATAAAAAGGGAACAAAGTTAGGTAAGTGACCTCCGTCATCTGCGCCTGAAATTGAATGGATGGGAACAAGCTTCCAGCCGAGGAGGAAAAGCAGCCAGGCTTGTGCTATATGGAGCGCAGGCAAGGACACCTAGCACTGGCGGTGCATGCCTGTAATACAAGCACTCAGGCGGCCTTGAACTTGCTGTTCTTGATGTCTCTCTGTAACACTCCAACAGGGAGAACTAAAGGACCTGACCCAGAAGGTGGAGCTGCTGGAGAAGTTTAGGGACAACTGTTTAGCAATTTTGGAGAGCAAAGGCCTTAATCCAGGTGAGAGATCACCTCCCTTCAGGTAGGTGCCTTCTCTGGGGGCAGCACAGGTGCCCTTCCTGGGTGACGCTTGATAGCTCTACATGCGCCGGCCCCGGGAGTACAAGGGTTGCTTGGCAAAGCCCTAAAGATTTTTGGGAGCTTCTCTTGGTTTTCATGTGATGTTGATTTCTGCCTAACCAGGAGAATTGCAGAGAAGGAAGCTCCTCTCTCTTCTTTTTTTTGGTACCAGGAATCAAACTCAGGACCCTGCTCTTGCCATGTAGGCACTTATACCACTGGGCTATATCCCCGGCCCGCTTTTCTCTCTCTTAGCCAGCGCTCTATGCCACTCATTTGGTGCCAATAGCTATGACCAGGCAGCTAGACTAGAAACACCATGTTCCTGTCAAGGGAGGTGAAGCTTACTGTAACTTACCCACATGAAGGATTGGGGAGAGAATGAGGATAAATGAGTGAGAGATTGCTGTTATCTCAGGGCTTCCTGAATATGGCTAATCAGCAATATCATGATAGCTAAAATGTGACTCCTGGCTAGAGGTATAACTCAGTGGTAGAATGTGTGCTTAGAATACTCAAGAAGAAGTGACCTTCATTTAGACTGTGCCTGGAGAGCAGTCAGAAGAGAATGGAAGGAGAAGTTGATTACCTGAAGACTGTGAGATAGCCCTAGGCTGAACTGAAGAAGACAGTGCCCAGCAAAGGAGAATTCAAGAAAACTGACTTTCAGTGGGAACAGCTAACCTGTGGGTTGTAGTTTATATAAGTGTGTATGTGTGTGTGTTTGGGTTTTGGGGGGGCCCAGCAATTTGAAGCATGTGCCCTACCACCGAGCTATGTCCCCAACTCCAGTTAAGATAGTCTTTATAAGCTGGGCATGGTGGTGCATGCCTGTAATCCCAGCACTCCAGAGGCTGAGGTAGGAGGATTGTTTCAAGTTGGAGACCAGCCTGAACTGCATAGCAAGACTGTCTCAAAAAGATACACACAAAAAAAGATACTCTTTATAGTTGTCATAAGCATTTTGTATGATTCTACCATGTGTATACAAAGTGTTGTTCTTTGGTTTTGCATTTTGTTTTTGTGGTACTAGGGTCTGAGCCCAGCTTCTTTGCACTGAGCTACATCCCTAGACCTTTGTTTTTGAGACAAGCTTTCACTGAATTTCCCAGGCCAGGCTCAAATTTGTGATCCTCCTGCCGTAGCTTCCCCAGTGCTGGGATTACAGGCGTGCGCCACCACGCCCAGCTTCCATATGCAAATTTGAAGAGCAAGAAGGTGAAATAGTTCTGGAGGGCAGGAGTTCGAGACTGCCTAAGACCAGGCACTCAGAGGTTTCCCTGGGAATGTACTCCTGCACTTGTCCATGGAGAAGGTTTACTTTCTTCTGCTTACACTGTGGTTCCTGCTGAGGCTGACTTTAGTATATCCATCTGTTCCAGGCAGTGACACCCTGGCATCACAGCAGGAACCTGCTACAGATCACGAGGACTCTGTGGTAAGGGCTTGGGTGGGAGGAACAGGGCCAGGTGACCTAAGAAGCCTCTGTTGTGTTCTAAGTAGCATATTTTACTTGAAAGGTGGCTTTGTGCTTACAACAGATATAAATATTCTGAATTGAAGATGTACTACCTTTTTTTTTTTTAAGAGACAGGGTCTTGCTGTGTAGTTCAGGCTGGCCTTGAACTCACTATGTAGTCCAAACTGGCCTCAAACTCAGGGCAGTCCTCCTGCCTCAGCCTCCCAAGTGCTTGAATTACAGGCCTGTACCACCATGCCAGTGAAAGTGTACTACTTTAAAAAGTATAACAGAGCTATAATCTCAGCTACCTGAGAGGCTGAGGGAGAAGGATTATAACCTTAAGGCCAGCCTGCACAGCATGGGAAGACCATGCCTCAAAAGAAAAATTGACCAACGGCTGGGAATATAGCTCAGTAGTAGAGCACTTCCCTAGTATAGTTCAATCCCTAGCACTGAAAAAACAAAACCACATGATAGAGTGAACCTGTGTGGAGAGCTTTCTGGTTTCTCCATTCTGCGCTTTATCAAATTTCTCCTGTACTCCTTTGCTGAGAACTGTATGATGCAAAGGTCAAGTCTGTTAAGTTTAAGTTTGCAGGATTTTTTTGTTCCTTCTCTGAGGGAGGAAGATATGTTTGGTTGAAAGTCTCTCGTACTGTGTAATCTCTTCAGAAAGCCCTCCTCAGCACCCTTGAGCTATCGGTCACCCCTTCTGCAGCTGGCATGTTTTGTTCTTAAGGTCTGAGTAGCGTAGAGTGTGTCATAATGTGACAGCCTGGCTCTTCATCTCTCAGTCCACCAAAGAAGTCCTCAAGGGACCCGATAGCCCTGCATGTGCGGCTGGTTCCCAGTGGAGAGATGACTGTTAAGTTGACGATACCATCATCTGATTCAGCCCTCAGGTTATATGAATGTTTGCTCATTACAATGTATTTTCCTCTTAGTTGCTGTTAGAAACTTTGCAAGATGAGCTGAAGCTATTTAATGAAACTGCCAAGAAGCAATTGGAGGAGTTACAGGTGAGGAGCAGATGTCACCCTGAGGCAGGATTATGGTCCCCTGCCTCCTCAGGTAGATTAAAGAATCTTTCTTTCTGATTTTCTGTTCAGTAAACTATTTGGAAGTAATTGTAGATTTACACAAAAGTCCCACAGACAAGACAGAAAATGCAGTTTCCTTGATAGTACCATCTTATTCTATCATTGTACATTTTTCCAAACTAAGAAACATAGTGGCATTATTAACTAAATTCCAAGACTTTATTTGGATTTCACCAATTTTTTTCCCCTGATTTCCTTTTTCTGTACCTGAGGATTCTTAGAAAGGTTCCTGTTGAGGGCTAGGGATGCAACTCAGTGGTAGAGCCCTGCCTGGGGTTCCAACCCTAACACTACAAAAAAGAAAAGTTCACACCTCCAGGGGATGAGTCAACTTACCGCTCTGTAGGTTGCTTTAAGTTGGCAGGAGAGACCTGTGTGAAGTCCATGCTGTATCTCAGGAGACCTATAGTAAGAAACCTAGATTTTTTTCATCTGGACTTCTTCAAATCTTGGGTAAATCATGGGGTATTGCATGGGACACAGAGGAATTCATTGCCCTAGTTTAGATACAGATGTTTGTAGCATAAAGAAACAATTCCTAAACCCAGCACAGAGTCCAAGACAGGGAACACCATGTCTGTTGGTATTCCTGGGCCTTTCTCAGTGGAGTAGAAGCATAATGGTCTGGGATGGGCACTGTCTTTCCATGGGTCAAGAGTTGTTTTGTTTTTGCTTGCTTGCTTATTTTTTCTTTTTCAATACCTTTCCTTGCAGGCCTTAAAGGTAAAGTTGAAGATGAAAGAAGAAGAAAGGGTCCAGTTCCTAGAACAGCAAAACTTATATAAGCATCAAGTTACTGATTTTACAAAAGTCCTGGAGGAAATGGAGCAGCTATTAGAAATGTAACAAAAGGAAAATGGCCAGATGGCTCCTTCTTGGGGATGAACTCTCAGAGGAAGCCACTTAGAACATCTGCTGAGCCATAGTCTTCTAGGAGTGCGTATCCCCAGACTGAAACCAGTTTGTGCAATCAGATTAGGGCAGTTTATTGCTGGAACAGCAGTTCCTCCATTGAGCAAATTTCTTCGTCTTTAGATTGGTCAACTCTCCTGAGCCTCACAGTGGATAACGGAGGCTTCAAGAGGGGGACCTGAGAGCTGGATTCTACCTCCGAGGCAACAGCAGCACAGCTAGATCAGAAGACTAAAGCCAGGCATAGTGGCACACATCTCTGATCCTGGCACTGAGGAGGCTGAGGCAGGCAGAGGATCGCTTGAGCTAAGGAGTTCAAGATAAGCCTTGCAACATAGCAAGACACCAGCCGAACAAACAAATGAATCAGGAAACTAAACCAGCCACATGGGAAGACCTAGGCGGTCATGTTGAGATTTGCAGAAAAAACCCTTGGTTACAACTGGAGCACGATACCCTGTCTCAAATAGATAAAACAAAAATTGGAGCACCTTCATTCCAGTGGGAGGTGACATTGAGAAGCCATGCTGTCCCTTCTCACTTGCAATGCATTGTGTCCCCTCCTGCTTGGGCTCTGTGCCTCATTGTAAATTTGTGAACTTGAAGTTGCTTGAAGTTTTTTGGCTTAATAAACGGGCTGAAGAACAAATGGGTGAAGGTATCAATATACATCTGGAGTTTTTAAACTGCATTTGCTTTTTACTTAAAGTATTTTAAGATGGCTGTAGTGATGCACAACTGTAATCCTAGTCCTCAGGAGGCTGATGCAGGAGGATTGCCATGGGTCTAAGGCCAGCCTGAACTACATGGTAAGACCCTATCTCAGAAAAATAAAATAACAGCCTGGCATGGTAGCGCACACCTTTAATCTCAGCACTCAGAAAGCCAAAGCAGGAAGATTGCCACAAGTTTGAGGCCATCCTGGGCTACATAGTGAGCTCAAGGCCAGCCTAAACTACATAGTAAGACCCTGACTCAACAGTAACAAGGTACTACTTTTGGAATAAATAGAAAAAAATCTTAAATCATAGATCTTTTGACTATAATATTGAGAAATGAAAATAGCCTTTTAAACTGGGCATGGTGGCGCATGCCTATAATCCCAGCACTTGGGAGGCTGAGGTAGGAGGATTGTTACGAGTTCGAGACCAGCCTAGGCTACAAAGTGAGCTGAAGGCCAGCCTGAAATGCATAGCGAGACCCTGTCTCAAAAAGAAAAAAAAAAAAGGAGCCTCTCAACCTAAACATGTCAACTAAACATTGTATGTTCAAGATGATTCTGATTTACCTGAAATATTTTCTTCAATTAAGTGTACGGCCTACTCCACCCCCACTGCTTTCCGGTATTGCTGGGTGTCCCCATGTATAGCAGCAGATGCCAGGCTCCCACAGGCTTGTGGCCAGTCGCCATGTCTGTCCTCCCTAGGTGCCTTTAGTTTGCCTGACACTCAATGCTGGATCTGGACCCATAGACTATTTAGTCCATGAACCAAAGTTTACCAAAGTCACAGCCAAATTTTCTTCCTTAATCTTTCTTTGACTATCTCCCAGGGGCCAGGGATATAACTTGGCTGCACAAGCATTTGCCTAGCAAGCACAAGGTTCTGAGTTTGATTCCCAGTACCAAAAAAAAAAAAAATGAAGTTAGGCATGAGCAAATGATTCAAGTACAAAATAGACTGATAGATTTTGGCAGTATAGTTGCGGATATAGCTCAGTGGCACAAGCGCCTGCCTGGCAAGCACGAGGTCCTGCCAAAAGGTAAAAATAAGTAATGACTATCTCCCATTCTTATTTTGGTTGGTGATGTTTTTGGCGGTTTTTTGTTTTTGTTTTTTTGAGACACGGTCTCACTGTGTAGTTCAGGCTAGCCTTAAATTCACCACGTAGCCCAGGCTGGCCTCAAATTCATGATGATCTTCCTGCCTCAACCTCCCAGTGCTGGGATTACAGGTATGTGCCACTACACCAGGTTTTCCTTTATTTTCCCCATTCTTTCTATACCTAATATTTCCACCAAAACCTAGTCTACCCTTCAGCATCATTGTCATCATGCTCAGAGCTCCCCAGTGAAACAAGGCACCACACCCACCCTAGTTTAAAGAGTGGGATTAGGACAGGGTCTTGCTATGTAGTTCTGTCTGGCCTTGAACTATGTATTCCAGATTCACCTCAAACGTACGTTGATCCTCCTGTCTCAACCTCCTGAGTGCTGGGATTACAGGTACGTGCCACCACACCCAGCACGGTTACGGGTTTTGCCCTCACAGACTTGGTGATGTCATTGGATAGCTCCTCCTAAAAGTGGCTCACCAATTAAACATTACAGGGTTTTGGGTTGTTCATCTCTCCTGGAGATGGAGTCCAGGTTCTCCTCTAGAACAAAGAATTGAATAAAACGAGCAAAAACAGTGGCAAAATTTATTTGAAGTAGAAATGAAGAGTGAGAAACTGGTTCACAGAGTGAACTTGGGCCGAGTAAAAGGAAAAAGCAAGATAAAAGTACACCCTGGCAGCGGGGCATGGTTGGGGACACCTGTAATGCACTCAGGAGTCAGAGGCAAGATCTAGAGGCCAGCCTGTATGACAAAGCAAGACCCTGTCTCAGAAAAGAAAAGTTCACCCTGTAGGAAAGAGGGCAAGCTATCATGAGGGAAGCCACAATAGCAACCTCTTGTTAGCAGGGTCATTTCATGCAGCCCAAATCTTCAGGAAACCCACGAGAACTTCCACACAGGGGTCCTGAGGGGCGGTGCTGACGTCAGGTCTAGGCCAGCCTATGGAAAACCATCTTCTCCGGTGCGGGGCTCTGGGAACTGTTCGGCAAGTGTGTCCTGAGATCTTGTCATTAACACATCACACCTAGGTCCCCAGCCAGCTTTACCACGCCCTAATCTATGTCAGTTAAGTCTCAATATTTTGAGAATTCTAGTTAAGTAACTTTCACTAGTGAGAAGGGCTAAATAATAACTTCTGCCCATTTTCAGGATTGTCCCCAATTTAAAAGATTGTTTACTTAAATTTTGTAATTAGCATTTCTGGCAAAGATAAAAGTAAAATTTCCTTCTTGGGAGGAGAGGATGGGAAATTCCCGGGATCCTTACTTCCTTGCCAGGCCTCACTAGAGGCCTTCTTACTCCCAGAAATGTAAACCACCTAGGTGCCAACCGCTGCCCACTCTTTCCCAACAGAGAGACCCCATTTGCTTGGGGCCTGGTCTTATGAAGTGCCTTTGCCCCAGGGCTTCACTTAGCAAGACTGGCCAGCATTTGCTCCCTTTCCTTGTCTTGGTTGGCCTCTACAAAAGATACAGGGAGGTGTTCAGGGTACTCAGAATGATCAGATGCCTGAATAAATTTATACATAAATTCAGCAAATGTAGATTTGCACTTTCCACTTTGTTAGATGTTGTAACACTCCTAACATCAAGGCCAGCCTGAGCTACAAACCAAGACCCTGTCTCAAAACAAACATTCCTAATCTCAGAAGGCTTAGGCCTATTTGGGGAAATAAAACATGCAGATAATAGACCAGTTCCAAAACAAAAGCTCATCTGTTTCTAATGGCTGGTGCTCTAGTATAGTTCAGTGCCGGCCGGTAACTATGGCCCAGTTTGGTTAAGGAAGGCTTGATGGAGGAGGCAAACTAGAGCAAAAGGAGGGTAACAACTGGAGGCTAGCTAGGAAGTTGAGGGGTACTAGTGGGGGGGGGGATGTGCAGGAACACTGGATTTGCTGAGAGGGTGCTAGATGGGAGAACTGTGTCCAGCACTTAATGAAGGGCTTTTCCCATGCCACATGAGGTGCTTATGTATGCTCCCTGTATAACATGCATTATGTCATACAAGTCATGTACTTTTTTTTTTTGAGACAGGGTCTTGCTGTGTAGTCCAGGCTGGCCTTGAACTTGTGGCAGTCCTCCTGCCTCAGCCTCCTGAGTGCTGGAATTATAGGCAGCCTGGCAAGTCATGCACTGTTTACTGCTTTCTACCACTGGAGAAAGTTATTGCCCAAGATCAAACATCAGAAAAGAGTTTCAGCAGGGAATTATGAAGATGGAAGGTACAGGGGTATGCCAGGCCAGGGATTACAGACCTTGATCATCTAGGCCAGAGGTTTCCAGACTTCTCACTTCATGGTGCCATTGGTGTCTGTGCGTTTTTATTTTTTAAAACAGGGTCTTGCTGGGTGTGGTATTGAACACCTTAATCTCAGTACTCCAGAGGCTGATGCAGGAGGATCACCACAAGTTGGAGGCTAACCTGAATTACAGTGTGAGACCTTGTCTCAACTCTTTCCCCCACCGCCCTCCAAATTCTCGCTATGTTGCTCAGGCTGACCTCACTATATGCCCAGGTTAGCCTTGAAATCACAATCCTGTCTCAATCTCCCAAGTGCTGAGATTACAGAGTTGGGCCCCCACACCTAGCTTTTTCTGTGTGGTGTTTTTGTTTTTGTTTTTGTCTTTTTGAGACAGGATCTCACTATGCAGTTCTGGCTGGCACTGAACTCACTTTGTAGCCCAGGCTGACCTCGAACTCACAGCAATCATCTTGCCTCAGCCTCCTGAGTGCCAGGATTACAGGCGTGCACCAGCATACCCAGCATTTTTCTGTGTTTTTTAATGATACACCAAAACAATTCTTAGCAGTTGTATTCTGTTAACTGGTTAGGTCCAAGCAATAGGTACGCAGACTTAAAAAATAATACACATAAGTCTAAAACATACAGGATTGAAAAATATGGAAAATGTTTTTAAAATGCATTACAGTAACAAAGACACATTGCCATTAATGCCCCCAACACTCCCTGCTTGGAACACATCCAATGTTCTTGCCACTTGCTGAACCAACCACTTCACCTTTTGTGTCTTTAGTTGCACTGTCGTGGGTGCCTCGCTGTCCTGAATTAATACAAAATGTTTACCTTCCATGGCCATTTGACTTTGAGAAAGAGCCAGAATTCCCATGGTGCCAGAATCAATGACCAAGGCAGATAAGGGAGAATAAGCCTTCATGTTTTTACAGGCTAACCTTTCCATTCAATGGCACTCAGCAGAAGTACTCACTGTATTTTTGATCACACTTCATTAAAACACTCATGAAAGAGGACTTCCAGAAAACCTTTAGAAAGTGGTGATGACAGTGAGACAAGTATGTTCAACGAAGGGGGGATTCATGACAATGTGTCTATTACTGTAATTTGTTTTTCTGTGGCAGGTCTTGAACTCATAGCCACCATCCTGCCTCAGCTTCCCTGGAGTGCTGGGATTACAGGTGTGTGCCTCAATGCCTGGCTTCAAATCTTGATGGTGATATTATTAAAGTTCAAAGAGTCCCTTTATAATCTTACCCCCAACTTGTCCAGCGACATGTCTCCCCACCCCAAACACAGTGTCCCGATTTTATCAGGCTTCTGCAAGTATTCGGGTTCCGTCTGGACTGGTAACTCTCAACCTGGGCTCTTAGGTTCAAATTACAACTATCTGTAAAGCAACCAAACCAAAAACAAAACACCTTTGGGACTGAGGGTGTGGCCCAGTGATAGAGCTTGCGCTTAGCACGCTCAAGGTCCTAAGCGAGGAGCAGAAGCAGGTAGGGAGACGGATCCTGTCCCCGACTCCAAGAAAAATGGATTGTCCCACCACCCCTGCCTGTCACCCACACGCAGGTCCTTCCCAACAGGCCTGTTCCCCAGAGGGGGTCTGGAGGTTAACAGCATTAGGAGGCAAACTTTCTCAGGGAGGAGCTGCTATGTCCAGCGCAGGGAGATACTACGTTACCGACCAAGAGAAAAGCCCCAAAGAAGTATCTAACCGAAGGACGACTTCAGCTGACTCACAGTCCGGGACTCGCTCCGTAGCCAGGTCTCGCAGCTGCAGTCTACGGGAGGTCGCCGCTGATTGGCTCGCGTGCAGGCCGAGGCCCGGCCTCCAGCACGCCGCCGAAGGTGAATGGCCATTGGAGACCCACCCCTCTCGCCGATTGGACAAGATGCTGAGGCCGGATTGGTACAGCGGAAGGGATGGCTCGGAGGCTCCTCTGGCTCCCCGGGCAAGGCAGAGATGGCGGCCGCAGCTCGGCTCGTCGGTCCGCGTGTGTTGAGCTGGAGGCTGCGGCCACTGCTGCTGCCCCTCGCCAGCCTGGTTTCCCGGCGGGCCCACTCGCTGTTGCCTGTGGACGATGCAATCAACGGGCTAAGCGAGGAGCAGAAGCAGGTAGGGAGCCCGATCCGGTCCCCGATTCCAAGGCCTCCTCTGCAGAGCCCACGCGTGTTCGCGGGGCCCTGGGAACGAGGCTTGGCCCGCGGATTGGTTGGGCTGCCTGAGAACGCGATTGTCCCGTAGCTTCAGCCGTGATCTCGTGAGTCTTACAACCGACAAGAGTATCTGGGTTGCAGCCCGCAGAGAGAGTTCAGCAGGCTTCCATCCTAGTTCTATCTTTCCTGCCAAGAGGTTCTGTAGTCCCTCAACATCTTTTCGCCTAAAGCTCAGGGTCAGTAAAGAGCCTGACTGGTGCGGAGACCCGGCGGTGGCGTGGGTGGAGCTCCGCGAGGGGTGGGCACGGAATCTATCTGGAAGGCCCGGGAACCACCTCCTGCAGGCCTTGTAGGCCTGGGTAAGGAGCCTGTGTTTTCTTCGGAGTACAATGGAAGGAGATGGGATGGCTTTATATAGGAGAGGGGCATTTTAAAAGTCATTTTCAATACTGGAGAGGCTTTCTTTTAAATCATCAAGCTGTCTAAGCTGAAATCTTTTAAAAGGAGATCTTACTCTGAGGAAGTATAAACTATTGAAGCCTCAAGTTTTGCTCCGTGCTGTTTGGTGAGGTCGCTTGTGTCCTACTCCCCGAACTTTGTCCTGAGTAGTGAAAGTGTTGGTGCAATGGCTTGATTTCAGCGCCCTCTGCCCGCCTCTCTCCCACTAGCTTCGTCAGATCATGGCTAAGTTCCTTCAGGAGCACCTGGCTCCCAAGGCCCAGGAGATTGATCAAAGCAACGAGTTCAAGGACCTTCGAGTGAGTCTTAAGGCCTGGGTGGGAAGAAGTTGGGAGCTGGGGCTGATTTGTACTGTTGCCTGAAAGAGCTCACATCGTGTCCGGGTTATGGAAACCTCCCAAAGGATGCCGCTCCCCCGTCAGAAGCATGAGGTCCGTTGCTCCAGCCAAGTGTGCCTGGCTGCCTTTTCACAGTACCCTCCACTCCATTCTCTTGACAGGAGTTTTGGAAACAGCTTGGGAGCCTAGGAGTTTTGGGCATCACAGCCCCAGGTGAGTACAGCTTCTTTGCCTGAAAAAAACTTTCCTGGTATGCCCTCGGAAATTCTCTGTGTACAGCAGTTATCCTAGGGGGTCAGTCTTGCTGCTGTGATTCCTAAGCTTTGTCCAACAAGTGGCCAGTAGCAGGAAACTTCAGGGCAGGTGTGTCCTCTCTCTCTCTCTCTCTGCCTACAGCTTGTCCCTGTAACTCACTTAGGGTAAGGTGGGCTAAGAGTGAGGTCTGTCTGGGCCTTCAGGTAGCCGGATGATAGGTTTAACAGGCCCTTCTGGCTGCCCAGTATCTCTCTGTCAGTCTTACTACTTACAGATACTTGCTTTTAGGGAAGAGAGCAGGGAGCTAGCAAGCTGTTTTGGGTGTTGGCATCTACAGGAGTTGCCCAGCCTCGCTTGCAGTACCCTTGTAAATAGATGAGGCTTTGGCCTTTGGAGCCAAGTCTAGACAGCCCACCCTGCTTGGGCCTGAATTCACTCTAGGCATGAGTAGGGGTGGAACATAATACAGTTGCCTTTTTCCTTTCATTACTCCCTAAACAGGAAAGAATAATGACTACTTACCTGATAAAGCAGCTAGAAATGATTTAAAGAATATGGGAACTGGGCTTGGTGGTGCATGCCTGTAATCCCAGCACTGAGGCAGACTGAGACAAGAGGATCACGATTTTGAGTCCCACTTCGACAATTCTGCGAGACCCTGTCTCAAAAAAAATTAAAAAATAAAAAAGGATGGGGTGGTAGCTTAATGGTAGAACAGTCCTGCATTTGAGCCCAGTGCCATTAATTAATGAATTAATTAAATAATAGGTATAGGTTATATGAAGATACTATGTCATTTTATCTTAGACTTAAGCATCTTTGGCTTTTGGAATCTGAAGCAGGAGTTCTGGAGCCAGTCTCTGAGGATACTGAGAAACTCTCTTTTATACTTTTTTTTTTTTTT